GCTAATGGATCACACGTTACCTACTAGGCATTTTCCACTTCTGCGTTCTGATTTTTTGAGGACGTAGTAACCTCGCATCATGGCAGTGCTACCCCAGTCATTATAAAGAAATAGGCTTGTTTTACAGAAGTAACAGTTAAAAATAAGTTATGTCAGTTCTATTACCTTTGCTAGCTCAACCCTATCTCTCCACATATATTACTGCTCATTTGCTGATTTAAAAATGTGCTTTCTTAATTACACTAGTTGAAATGTTGGCTGTGGGTGAAAGCAAATAATTTGAACTTGTCTATTTGAACTGTGTGAATCAATAAAGTGTTGTTTTATAGCTTTTACATTTTCACTTTAGTTCAAAAAGTAACCCTTGCAAAAGAAAATCTTTAGCAGAGAAAGACAGAAGGCTCCCCCTAGTGGACAAGAGGGATTTGTGGCTGATTTAAAAAAAACTTTTTTTGTTTAGAGCATGTTAACATTTATGTTTGAAGATGTACAGCTTCAGATTTTGTTTTGTTAAGATGATATGTTCTTCCTAATTCCTGCCTTCAACCTAGACTTTATATCATCCCCAAAGATTAAACAATAGGAATCATTTTGACAGTCTCAAGCAAGCTGCAGTAAATAGTAATAAACCCCTAGATGTATATAGAAGAAGCTCAGGACTAAACCAACATACAGTTGTGGGGGGGAGGGTTTCCCCTTAAGCTGTAATGTACAATCTGTGTGCTAAGATGACTAATTTAAACTTGTATAAGGCAGTGTAAATGTTTTATGACATTTCAGATCATAAACAGCGTCTACAGCCAACAATATTTTATAAATGTTTAACTTGATCATAAAAACTTAGAGCAATACAGTGATTTGAGAGAATGTTTTGGCATAAATGTTCAAAAAATGCAGAGCTTGTTTTAAGAGGAATTGCAAAGCTTGCAAAAAAGCGTGCAGAGTCCTTAAAAGCCCTGTTCAAGAGAGAACATTCTCTGTAGGCCTGTGTAACTAGTAATTATATCCAACTCTTGCATTTATAGATCTCAAATGCTTAACAAAGGTGATCGGGATAAGTATACCCATTGTACAGACGGGGACATAGAGGCACTTAAAAGTGAAGTGATTTGCGCACAGTCACTGGGAAGGCTAGTGGCAGAAATAGGAATAAACCCCAGGTCTTCTGAGTCTATTCCAAGCTTTCTCCCTTACGGGTATGTAATGGTCAGTATGCACTATCTCCTTCCCCAGGGCCAGGGTTAAACACTATTCTTCCTAGCTTTTATTTAAGAGCATCCATACCATCCATGTTATATCTGAAACAGCCCTCAGAACTAGAACATGAATTTTGGGATATGGACTCGATCTAGTACAGTAGGATTTTTTTTCCATATTAAATTCCTACATTGCTGTCTGGCAGTTGGGATGAAGGACAAAGAATTAGGAAGGCCCTCAAGTTCTTTGTTTAGACATTTGAAGAGACACAAAGGATTTTTAAGTGTCTGTGTGCCTTCAAGACTATCCATCCTGATGGAGGATAAAGCCTTTTAGTCACTCACCAGTAATTTAAGTGGGGTAGAAATTGTTGGGGAAGGATTTAGTTTAAAAATGCATTCTAAATCTGGGCTGAGTTCTTATCTATTCCTCCTCTTGCACATAGGCAGGAGTATTGCTATTGCCTTAGGCATGTATCGACTTCTGTAGGATACATGACTTCGGGGAGGGGGGGAGATAGTCTTACAGACAGTCAGGAATCAATGAATATACATGAATCTCCCAGTCCACATTCATCTCTGCAGTTGGAAGTTTAGTTTCGTTTGGGCCTTGGGCAACAAATAAAGCAGCCCACTGGTTACTTGATATATGTAACTTTCCACGCTTCATTCTCACAGAATGCCAAAGTTTTTTTTTTCATTTGCATTGGGCCATTTAATTGCAAATCCAGAGGCCTCCTGCTTCAGATCCAGCAGAACTGATGCATTTTTGCTGCATGAGTTGCCAGGGTTTAGAGATCAAATCCAGGGTTTCACTACTCCCTGCACATAACAGCGTTTACTTGTATCCTCCTGTGTTAATATACTTTCTCAGTGGTTTGTGGACCTTGTGCTTATTTAATTCATCAGTGAGTGGTGCGGTGACGGATAAAATAAGTGCATCCTATTAATAGTTTCTTTACTTTGGTTTGTAAAGGAATTGTCCAAATAACACAGACTGCACAAGCTAATGTAAATTAAGGATAATTTTGGCATTCATGCTCTGAGCCATTATGGAAGCAGCTAATGATCTGTGGCTTAATGCTCTAAAACTTTTCCAGTGTCCAGGCATTAAAATTCTCAGGTGGTGTGCTTTCTCACTGCAAGTAACTCTAAGATACTGCTTTTCTCAATGAAAGTTTTGTTCTAGAGAGAAAGGCCTGGACCTTCACATGGAGAAAGCCTATCCTGTTCTAATTTTTGAGCTGCAGTTATATTAGAAACTCAAAATGTTACTTTCCTAATATTATTTGCAAATAAAGAAAAAGTTGGTTAATCACAGAGAGATTTTTTTGATATCCAGTGTGAGTTGCAGAAATCTGTTTCACCAGTAGCAGGAGATGACATGATAAACTGTTAAGTCGACGCTTATTTTAAAAATGATGGTAAAAATGCCACATTGTAATGACTTAAATAAGAATTTGGCCAGTCTGTCTACCTTTAACTCCACTTTCTGTTTCATTGGACTACTATGGTGTATCCTCTTATCCCAGACCCTTTGTAAAGCAGTCACCAAAGAGATGTTCATATAGGTGAATTCATGAATAAGTAAAACTAGAAAGGTCAAGGCCATCCCTCTTAACATAGCTTGATTGGTTTATCAAAATAGATTCCCTTGTGGTATTGGACAGGTATTGCTACTTTATGCATTTGTACTTTGAAGTGTTACCTGAGCACCAGTTCATTGCTTACTGTTGCTACATACCAGGACACGTGTAATAGCATCAAATCAAAATGGCAGTAAATGGTTCACTGTTGAGATAATGGAGGACATAATTTTCCTTCCTAAATTGTTCCTATGCATTGGTAAAACAGCTGTTTTCTTCCACCCAAGGTTTTGCTTCAAGACTAGCTGAAATGTTCCCTATACCTACTTTATCCCTTGCTACAGGCCAAAAGATTTTTATTCATGGAAATTACTTCCTCCAATTCAAATGGCTTTGAGGAAAACGCTGTTTTGTATATATAATATAGAAATTTATAAACATGGGTTTTGAGCAAGCTGAAGTTAAATTCTACCTTTGCCTTTGCTCTCTAAGTCAAAAGAGTTGTCATCTATTCTTATCTCACATTTTAAATTTTATTTCAAAATAAAATCTCACGTGTCAGTTACTGGTATCTGCTTTAAAACTGACTTTTACTGTAGTAAAGGTGAGAGTCATTCTGTATAAATAGGAGTCCCCTTAAATCAGTTGTACATTTTACTTCAAGAATTATTTAGTTACCATGGCGGGGAGGTGGGACTAGATCTGTAGCAGGGACATCCTCTTCATTTGAGCAACTTTTTCTGTACCTCAACAGCCAGAAATGTCAAGTGGCTCTTTATGATGCTGGCTACTCATCTTGCTAACAACCTTTCTCATGTCCAAGCCTCCAGCTGAGGTTGTGGTGTACTGACCCATCGCTGATGCCCAATGTTTCAGCTGCTGCACTATTCATTCACCAGCTAAAGGGCTGCATCTGCTTTTTCTAATATAGCAGCCCCTCTGGGGCGTCCTTAGTGCTAATTTAAATGCCTGGGCAACTCAACTTAATTGTGGTACAGAAAGGGGCATCCCCACCTACTATCGGCCCTAGAACCTGAGGTATTTGCTCTAAGGTCAAGCCTTTATGGGGCAAGTAACTTGATCTATGCTCTGATTTTGAAATTATTCAAATCATCAGTCATTCACTCTGGCACAGTCTTCTACAAATTCTGCACTGGTGAAAAATGGCTGTTAAAAAAAAACATTGAAATATCAATAGCATATCATTAAATAGGTCAGACTGGACACTTGCTGAATACTTTTTGCAAATTCAGACCTAAGCTATGGTAAATTAATTGCTAACAGTGCTCATTTGTGAACTCAACCTCAGGCAGTTTCCTAGTGTAAGCACAGAGGTGGTTGTTTAGACATTAGCCTGAAGTCAAACAGAAGGTGGGCAGTGATACCTTACAAAATTATTCAGAGCAGCTTTTACTTCATCGGATGCAGACACACAAACTATAGTGGTAGTGCCCAAACTTTTTGCCTGATGGGTGGTGCCCAGTCTTCCCAGTGTGTAGAGTGAGGGCCTAACCTGGCTGTGCGGGGCTTGAAAATTTGGAAGCTGGGGATAGGTGGCAGTATGGATGGCCACTGCTCCCCTGCTGCCAAATTTTCTGACCATGGGAAGCTTCGTGAGCTGGATGCCATGGCTTTAAGGGCCCCTGGACTATAGCAGTTATAGGAAACAAGACAGGATCACACAGGACTGCAGAAAAGTCCTGGCTTGAACAGTTTTTTTGTCTCATAAACAAGGTTTTTCAGCCCCTCTGCTCCACACTTACACACTGCATGGACACAAACAGTAATTACAGTATACAGGGTGGCTTTGCAGATGGACCCCACATTTCCTTTCTGTTTCTGCATTGAACAGTTTCTGGTGAATACAAGGTAAATATGCATACTTCCTCATAAGGAAAGCTGAGAGTCCCCATAGTTTTCTAGCTTGAATAAGTTTCCAGTTTTTACAGGTTCGATTTTAACCTTCACTACTTCAACTCAACATCTAAACTGGCTAATTTTTTTTAATCTGCCTTACTCTTTTTCAGCTGAATCATTCCTGTTTGGTTGCACAGATTGTATAAAAGCTGCACTGTATTTTACTATGAAGTTTACAGAAACCAATGCTCATTAGATGAAAAAGTAGTTTTCTTGCTGTTGCAGGGGGTATGGGGTGGGAAGTTGTTTTTGAAGAAAGTCGCTGTAAAGTTTTTGGATCTTTTCTCCCCCTTTTTTACAGCTAACCAGCTGCTAAAGTTTGGAACGCTCGTCAGCACTTCAAATGCATACGACAACTCGGGAATCGTGACCATCGAAACTGACAAGCCTTTGCTGTGGACAATGGCAGTCAAAAGTGAGCCAAATGCTTATAATTAAGCAAATGCCACATTTTTCATTTGATCAAAGACTACATTTTTTGGAAAACTGCACTCATCTGCAGGCACGGAAGGATTATTCTTGAAGGGGTAGATTCTACTTAAAAGCAAGATTTGGGGGTTTAGAGGGGGAAAGACTGAAAGATCTTCAAGACATCAAACCAAGGGTAGTAACAGTTCCACATATGTATTTATAGTACATGAGCACCTACTAAACCAGCATAGTCAATATGCAGTAATAGGCATTTAAGATTGCTCAACTCTTTACTCTTTGTAATTTTCCTATATTGATTACTACTAATGTAAGTTGTCTGGAAACAGCAGTTTCAAAAGTCACTGTGGTCAGCAGTGAAATAGTAATTTAATAGTTAAAATATTCTACCGAGATATTTTATTTGTGGCTTTGATTCACATTTTAATAGTGCCATACAAATATTTACTATTGTACTTTTATAGGAGTGAAACTTTACAGTGTGGCAGTGACCAGTTGATTTTGTGCCTTATTGTTTAGGAACTTAGGCTGCTTGCAGATGTTTAAAAAAAACAAACAAACAACCAACCACCCAACTTCCCTCCCCCAAAAAAGGCATTTCATTTTAAGCTTGGTGCACTCCCACACTGAGCCCAGCACATGCCCAGAAGAGGCATTAGTTGGACCCAGCTTGCCCAATATGTGTATAGCTCGGGTGCTTTGGTGGGGCCTTTTTTGGTGCTTTTATCTAATAGCTAGTTGACTCCACCTTAGATGAAACGCCAAAAAGCCCTGCTGAAGCACCCAATCTATACAGACACTGTGGAGCTGGGTCAGTGTGTGCATTAGTTACTCCAGTTAAAGCGTTTTTGTTTTTAAACGTTTGCAAGCAGCCTTAGAAGCTAATTGCAGATTTTAAAGAACAGCAATAATTCTAATACCTGCTACAGCTGAAATTAGTTTAGAAATATGCATTCATTTCACTATTTCTTTAGGTGTCAATGCTGGTATTAAAATGAATTACTACTTCCCAGTATTGAGTACTATTAAGAATTTAATAGAAGGTTAATATTCCATAATGGTGCTAGTAATAAAAAAGATTGGTCTAATTCTCAGAAATACATTAATGTAGATTGTCATTATTCCTCTGAAGAAAAATTAATTCAATGTTTTTAAAACCAAATAATTTTTTTAACTAAGTCGTTTTTAGTTATTTTTTTAAAGTGGGTTTGGAGACACTGACTGACCAACTATTTCATTTGCTTATGTAAATTAGTGCAGAAATGCATAACAGTCATTTAAAAGGTGAACAATATATTTTAAACCTGCATTTGAAAATTGCAAAGCAAATTTAGTTGGTGGAAAGTTGCGCCCTCTTACAGATTCAGTATAAAGCCTATGGCATTAGAATCCAAATCTGAAGTGCCTTCACATAAATTATAATCTGTAAAATACATATTTATTTTTGTTTAAAGGGACAAGTAGAATTTCAGATAAATAATCCATTTATTATCACATTAATCTAAATTAAAGATTAAAAAGTCTTTCACTTTGCTTTGTACTAGTGGCAGCACATAACATAGGCAAATTCCTACTTGTGGATTTTTTTTATTCCAAGTTTCAGGAGTTGTAATATAGGAAAAACAATGAAAGTTACCTAATTTGTTTAAGTGAACCCAAGTAGAGCAGGATAAAAACCTAAAAATGTAGTAGAACACCACCATGCTCTTGGTGGGCCAAGAGCAGTGTTATGTAAAGCTATGTTGTACTGCTAAAAGGAAAAAGCCAAGAAAGCCCATTCAGACTTATTCACTCAACTTGGGGCATAGCAATGATGTACTGTAGTAAAAAGAGATAAAAGTACAGTGCTTCTGAAGCAAGAACAAATAAGATATCAAGCTTTTTTTAAAATCCAAAATAGGGGTTTATTGTATTAAATAGCAGATACAGATACGTGGAACATGTGTAAGCAAAAAAAAAAAAAAAAAGCCCCTAACTCTTCCCCTCCCACTATCCATCAGGCTCCAGCTTCAGTTGACTGGTCTTCCCAGTAAGTGTTCAGCCACCACTGTAAAACAGGAGGGAGCAAGATCATTTTCAAGCAGATGAATATCTTCATAGAGCCTAGCTCATTTTAAATAGAATGATGGTACTATATTTACTTGCATACCACACATACCCTTTTCCCCAAAATATAGCCTCCGCCCAAAAGCAGGGGTGCATCTTAAGCAGGGAAGTTGATTCTTCCTACAGTATAAAAGCATCCTACTTTAATTCCTGCTCCACAGTGCAGCAGCAGTGACATTACTATTCAAGTAGCTGAGGGAGTCGATTCACTTAATGGCTTGTTGTTCTTCACTGTACAGCTGTTAATGATAGTCTCTCCTTTTTAATAGTCTTGACATTCTGCTAATCAAGCTAACTTCTCTTAGGGCAATTTTGCTGTATGCTAGCCCCTCTTGGTGCCTCTTCTCTTATTTCACATCCCGGGACACTTTTAACTCTGTTCAAAATTATAGATCTACATATGGAGACCCGTCTTTAACAGCAGCTAGGGATTCAGTTTTTATTTAAGCAAGAAAGGGAAGGCCAGTCAACTAGACATTAGGCTCTCTCCCTATTCTGTGCAGCCATAACTTAGGAAGAAGTCTTTTTTGTTCTTCATTCTGCCTTCCCAAAAAGAAGGTGCATGTCTTAGGGGGCATGCTGCATCCAAGAAAAAAACAACAGTATATTGTGACTACGTTAAAGTAGGATGATTACCTACTCCAATTTATTTACTCTTTATTCAAAAACATTTTTCTTGACCTGAAGAGCAGTTAGATGGCGTTAAGGGATACAGCTGACATTAAGGGTTCTGACTAAATAGGAAAGATATCTTGAAACGGATCTTTTAAGATAGGACTCCTGCTATAAAAGGTGAATGACCCATTTGTGGGCATGGATTGAAAGCATAACTACAAAGTATGGGTTAAAATAATGTAATAAAGTATTTCCTTTAAGTGTTCCAAAGCAAAATGTTAATACTGTACAACAGTCAGCTACCTTCAACATTAAAAATATTTCAATTCTTATTTTGAGCATTTAGCATCTTTATTTATTGTGTTCTGTTACGTTCTTTCAAAGCAAAGCAATACAAATAATGCAGTAGTGCAAAACTGCATACTGCATAAATGACTGGTTATTTCACTAATCATGTGCGCTAAGGGCATTTACACACGTGCTCCAGGAGTTGGGGGAGAGGGGGCGCTTTAATTAACCAGCTTCAAGCATCATTCTAATTAAAGCGCCCAGAGCATCTTGTGTATCAGCATCCCCACACTGAAAAATGGTGGTAGGGGTGCTTAAACTAAAGCTCATTAAATGAGTTTTAATAAAAATCCCCCCCCCGCCATTTTTCAGCACAGGGACACTGATACACAAGACATTGGAGTCTACTGGAGCACGGTGATTACCATGCTCCAGCAGACTTGATAATCAATGTCAAACTTTTTTTTTCTTTTGTAAATAGAGTCTGCTTCAACATGCTGTAATTACAGTGCATTGGAGCAGCCTTACTGCATGTGTATAGGCTCCCTAACAGTATATACTGCACTATCCCAAGTATTCAATTCACTTGGGTAAATTCTTAACTCCAAATTAAACAGAACATCAAGATTAAGCAAATTCCAGAGAGAAGCTATCTGCTATACTGCACAAACACACATTGAAGAGTAGAATTTCAGTTTTTCTTCAACACCATAGCTTTTAATTATACCACTTTCTGTCACTACAAGTAATGTGTTGCAGAAATTACTGTGATTAAGTCTAAAGCTGTAAAATATTTTGTCCAACAAACAGAATCTGAAAGCAGCAACTGATTTACTGATCGAATTCTCAAATGGTTTGAAAAAAAAGAGACAAACACCATGTAAGACTTCAGTGAATGAATCAGTACACCTGACTACAATCCTATAAATACCAAGCTAAATGAACACCTAAGCAGTTCTGTTAGTTTCCTTGAAATTAAATGTAGTTTTCAGTTCTCTCAGTGCAGTTTGTACTTTCATTCAGAAATCCTGCTGCTATCACAATTCTTGTATCAAATTTACTTACACAATTATGTTGTTGATAGGGATATGGATCAGTTTCACAAAGAATCCAATAAATCCCATTATTGCAAAGCCTATTGCTGTTGCCATGGCAATTTTCTGGAATTCTGCAATTAAAAGAAAAATCCACAGGTTAGTATAAAAAGCTTAACATGTGCCACCCAGGATGTAGCAGATGGCTCACTACAATGGATGTGGAAGATTTTTCAAGGGTACATCTGTCCTACTGCCTTATAGAGCCAGCAGGCCTCCGTGGGCTAAAGAACCGCTATCAGTGCTGCCTCTTCTCTGTGGGACAACCAGTGTCCAATCTAGGCCAGAAGAACCAAGGGAAAATGATTTAGCCAGCCTGTAGACCCTACAAAGCCTGCAGGGCACTCTTTTGCATTGCCTTCCACTGGGATGAGGACACAATAATTCTGTTTCCATTAGGGTTCTTCTGAACTTAATGTTGTGCTTATTGTAGGGAAGGGGAGAGCATATGTTGTTTGGGGAAAGCCATAGACCCAGCGTGGAAGAGGGGTGATTGCACAGGTAGGGAAAAGTGGGAAAATGATTTCCATACCTAGATATGAATGAGGTAGGGAGGGACAGATGAGTTTGTTCTTCCAGGTGATGGGCAAGGTAGTAATGGATGGGACATGGTGGAGTTTTAAGATTCTTGGGTGCTGTTTGGGGAATCTATTGCTTCTTATGTCCTGTGTTATCTGTCTTACTGTAAGCTGCCCTAAGCCTTTCTGGGTAGGGCAGAAAGGCTTGGTATATATCTTATTTATTAATTTTTATGTGATATATAAGGCTGTCGCTATATATATAGCCCAGTAGACAGGCTTCCTGGCTTCTGTAGCCCAAAGTCCTCCTGGCCAGGTATGGCTTTTCTTCTCCCCACCCTTTAAGCCTGGCCCCTATAAGATCAGGGATGACAGCACTGTTCTAATAAACCATCAGCTCTGAGTTCCAATCTCACAAGGGCTCTTTTTTGCTGAATTGCCTTCCTCCCACTCTGCCCATCTTCCCAGCCTGGCTAAACAATGAACTCTTCAGTGATCCAAAATTCAAAAACAAATCCTACTAAAAACAGAAACTTGGTCATGTTACTAGGGAAGAATATGAGATTGCATAAGCATGTAACAATATCAGGAAGACCCAGACATGATTTGAGATTCAAGCAGCAATGTAAAAGGTAACAAAAAGGAATTTTACATGTCAGAAGTAAGGAAGAATAAGAAAACCATAAGCAAGGTCAGCTACCAGATAAGTGTAGTCAGCAGCCAGAAGAGTGGATAAGCAGCCCAGAATACTGGAAGGACACACTCCAGACAGCTTTCAGTCACAACACCCATCTACCACTAACTACTTTGAATGTGGCAGCACCATCTCCCACAACATTATCTTCAGTAAGTTAATGACTGAATAGTACAGTCAGGTGGATGCACAGCTGATTGGATCGTCATATTGTTTAATATCTTTATTAGTGATTTGCAAGTGGGGGACTGAGCGCAAATTTGTACACAACAAGTTGGGTGGAGTTGCAGATGTTCTGCAGGTAAGGGTTAGGATAAAGAATGACCCAGATAAACTGAAGAAATAGTTCCACCCCTCCCAAAAAAAATCAGTGAAGTGAAGTGAAATTCAGTAAGGACAAGTGCCAAGATCTGCCCCTTCAGACAAAATAACTGCATGAGACTGGCAAACGACTTTCTCGGATGCAGTACTGCAGAAGAGAACCTGGAGGTTACAGTGAACCATAAGCTGAATACGAGCCAACAGGTCTACTCTGTTTTACAAAAAAACCTAATAGCACTTGTTGGGTTACCATATGTCCAGGTTTTCCCAGACATGTCCCCTTTTTTGGGCCCCCTGTCCTCGTGTCCAGGCAAGTTTTTAAAATGTGAGATGTCAAGCTTTTTGCTCTTCTGCCGCTTTCCCGGGCACGCACAGCTTGGGACTGCTTGAGGCTGGAGCAGCAGGCAAGGTGACTGGCTGTCCAAGGTCATGTGCTCTGCACGCTGGCACGGCACACTCCCAGGTAAGAAAGACAGAGCATGTGCGCTGCATGCATATGTGGGAGGTGGGTGGGCAGCAGGGGCTGTGGGTCAGGAGTGAGGGGCACCCGCCGGGCTGCGTTGGGGCGGGGGGCGCGGCAGTGGCTTGGAAGTGCGGGGCAGAGGCAGAGCATAGGCACATCACTCCCCCAACCATGTACCGCTTCCCCCTCTCCCTCCACCCCACAGGTGTCCTCTTTTTTGGTACTGGAAATATGATAATCTTACAAGCATACAAATCAATAGAAGGGATTCTCCTGCTCTATTTGGCACTTAAGAGTCCTCGCATACAATACTGCATCCAGGGTTGGGCACACTTCAAGGAAAGCAACAAAAATAATTCCAGGTCTGGAAAACATAGTTTTCTTACATAGTTGGTAAGGAAAGGCTGGAATAGCGGCACTGCTCAGCCTGGAGAAGAAAAGACTGGGGGGGGGGGGGGGGCTTCTTATGTCCTGTGTTATCTGTCTTACTGTAAGCTGCCCTAAGCCTTTCTGGGTAGGGCAGAAAGGCTTGGTATATATCTTATTTATTAATTTTTATGTGATATATAAGGCTGTCGCTATATATATAGCCCAGTAGACAGGCTTCCTGGCTTCTGTAGCCCAAAGTCCTCCTGGCCAGGTATGGCTTTTCTTCTCCCCACCCTTTAAGCCTGGCCCCTATAAGATCAGGGATGACAGCACTGTTCTAATAAACCATCAGCTCTGAGTTCCAATCTCACAAGGGCTCTTTTTTGCTGAATTGCCTTCCTCCCACTCTGCCCATCTTCCCAGCCTGGCTAAACAATGAACTCTTCAGTGATCCAAAATTCAAAAACAAATCCTACTAAAAACAGAAACTTGGTCATGTTACTAGGGAAGAATATGAGATTGCATAAGCATGTAACAATATCAGGAAGACCCAGACATGATTTGAGATTCAAGCAGC